CTTTCCAGTTTGCCTTCGGGGCGGTGAAGATCCCCCGCACTCGGCGGAGGAAAAGGGGGTAGGGAAACGAGGCTGAAAAAGGAGCCACGTTTGCAGGCTCTCAGGAGGAAGGAGGGGAGAGGAGCGGTTTCCAAATAGAATAGGTCACAGCTAGAACCAGGCGTCCCCAAAGCTACGATCCGTACTTTCCAGGAAACACAGCAACGGAGCACAGGGAGCTGGGGCCCATCTGTTCCCTTTAAGTGGAGGATCTAACCCGCCGACCCCATAGGTCATAGCAGTCTGATCCTGCAATCAATCCCGGGGAGATCTACCCCAAGCCAAGGTCCCCTTAGTCTCGCCGAGGAGTTCAGGTCTCGAGTGTGTGGGTGAAGGGGTGACGGCTTGGTTCCCAACGTGCATCGATCGTGTTTTGCAGACCCAGACTTAAGTTTGCAGCGGTGGTGAAGAGTAATGGTTTGGGAACGAGTCCCATCCCCTTGAACTGGTTCGCTTCTTTTTCCGTATGAATCACCGTCCCCGTAGGATCGAGCTGCAAACGCGGTTTCGAATCAATGGGAAGAGCGATTCTCTCCTCCCGCGTCTTCACTCCCCTGCCATCAAACCCTTCCGACGAGCGGCGGCGAAAGTGGATCGAGGCCCTCCCTCCTTCCCTCCCTCGCCATCCCGAAATGGTTTGCTGTCGAGGAAAAAGAAATCATCAGCTATCGTTGGAGCACTTCAGCGACCCGAGTGTTTGTTTTTGAAAGTGTAGACCTAGAAGGAGGAGCAGGAGCAGTACGATGCTAACCTGGAATTAAACTCTTGTTTTTATTATTATTTTTTAATTTATTTATTCGATTATTACCCCACACCCCTCTAGACTATGTCTACTCGGGGAGGCTTAACATCGATAAAAACACATCAATATAACAGGCATAAAATCATGTTTAGAAGACGGTCAAAAGAGGAGCGAAAGCGCTCCGGGCTCCTCCTCCTCCTTCGGGGCGACAGGTTTGTACGAGCGCCCTCTACCGCCTGGAATGCTTCATCGCCACCTGTTTCCCGAAGTGGAAAGAGCAGGAGATGATCCTTTGTTTGCCGGCGCCGCGGCCGTCACCGAACCCGTGCAAGGCGCGGTTTTTAATCGGGGTCGCTGTTGTTTTCCCGTTCTTGAAAACAGGCCCAGTAAAACGAAATGCACCCCATGGGCGTTGGCTGGTGCCTCTGAATAAAGAGGCGGCGAAAGCTTATGTACTAAATAAAACGTGTCCAACTCATAAGTGCCACACGATAACATTGGATAGGCGGGGATTCGAACTGGCGGCTCTCACTATACAAAGTAACAGTCGTTTCTCTGCAACAGACTGACATGGACAACACCTTAGAAATAAAACGCCCTCATTTGAGCAAATTGAAGTATGCCAGCTTCCTCTTTATGGAGGAGTTGACTCACCAAATCTCCAATATAAAATATATATATAATGTATAATAATAATTCATCACCACCACCACCACCACCACAGCATTGCAGAGCTGGAAGGGACCCTATTGTGAGAAATGCTCACACCCTTGTTACTAAAATGCAGTAACCAGACAACCACAAATACAAGCAGCTCTCCTTTATTAAAAAGCACTTTTGCAAAGGCAGGTCTCCTAACTGGGTAGGCATACACATCAATACAGGTAGCATGATATCTATCCCTTATTCCCGGCCGTATGGTCCCTCCCTCGTTTCCCTATTGGTTAGGTACTCCAAGGTGTACAGCCTCTCCGGTGCACTTCACAGGAAGTCCCACGTCTGCTTTATTTTCATCTTTATTTGGTATATGTTCCCTTTT